GAGAAATTTAGTCCTATTTATCAAATCTAAAAAGGTAGACCATCTTTGGCCTATTAATTCCATTTCTAGGAATTTATCTTACATACTTATCCCAGACATCAACAATGTGTATATGAAAATCTTCACTGCAATGGTGTCTGTAAAAGTAAGAGATATTTGTCAACTGAGAACTTGTTTTTAAAATTAGGATACATTCATACAAGGAAATCCTTTAAAAATACTATATAATTTAACAAGAATGAATGGATCAAAATGGGACAATTTCCCAAATACCATTAATGAACAAAGCAAGGTAAAGAACAGCATGTATCATATATGATCCATTTGACTATAAAGAAATTTTTAACAGAGGTTGCTTCTGTGAAGGAGCAGCTGGGCCCCAGGGTGGGAGCAAGAGTACTCTCTTCTTATACTCCTTTGTACTTTATGAATTATGCACAAGGTTCACACTTACCTACCTACAACTTGCTGCTGTAATGGGAGTATATGAGGTTTTGCAACAAGGCCGGCTTCATGAAGGGATCCAGGGATGCAGGAGCCACTTACCAAAAGTAGCACTTCCTGGCACAGGTGATGGATGCCAGGAAGTATGAAAGTCAAGCTCAACGAGAGGGAGCCAAGATCAACACCAAAGTGATGTGGAGGAAAGAAGAAATGGGGATGAGGCTAACGAAAAGTAGAACTTTAGAGCAAGCATTTAAAAGACAATTAGATAGGCTGGGCATGGTGACGCAGGCCTGTAATTCCAGCACTTTGGGAGGTCGAGGCGGGCGGATCACTTGAGGTCAGGAGTTTGAGTTCAGTCTGGCCAACATGGTGAAACCCTGTCTCTACCAAAAATACAAAAATTAGCTGGGCATGGTGGCACATGCCTGTAATCCCAGCAATTCAGGTGGCTGAGGCACCAGAGAGTAACTTGAACCTGGGAGGTGGAGGTTGCAGTGAGCTGAGATTGTGCCACTGCACTCCAGCCTGTATTACAGAGCAAGATTCTGTCTCAAAAACAAAAACAAAAGCAAAACAATGAGATAAAGGGAAAAGCCGTTTTGAATGGGGGTCTTTAGGAGTTGCTAATGACCTGAACTTAGGGTGCTGTGTACATAGTTATTCTTACTTAACTATAAGTAATTAATAGTAATAACATAATAAAGGCTTGTCATCTACTGGGTTACAAAGTCCAGCTACAAATTAGAGGGGATATAATCTCTATTCAAACAGGATATATTGAGTATATATCAATATATATGTTTAAACTCAATATATATCAATATATGTTTATATTCAATATTGGTATATATTGAATATAAACCATACTCAATCACCAATGTATGATAATTATGTTGATTCTGTTCTTACAGAGTTTGGAAAGGAATATAAATCTAACTTGGGCACATTCTCAGCCTGAAGGAGGTAACAAGTAATCATTAATTGATGATGGTTAGCCAAAGCAATAAAGCCTTGCCTTCCTTGTGTTACGTGGCCAGTCTGCTGTGCAATGCAGGAGAGTTCTTTATACCACAACTAATAGCTGCATAGGTATCTCCAGTCCTCCTGCTTTATAGTCAAGTTCAAAGAAGGCAGAGACACAGAACCTGGCAAGCAGGCTATGTAAGTAGACACTTGGTGAAGATATTTTGTTCTCAATGATGGTGGTGGTACTGGTGGTGCTGGTGGGAGTGGTGGTGATAATGATAAACCTTGATGTTGTCAACCTATCTTGATGGAAACCTCCTCCAGCCCTACTGTCCCCATAGCAAGAAGTGGGAGGGAAATGGGGTAAGGGGTCAATTTCCAGTTTTGAGCCCCAAACTCTGAGTTGCTAGGGTGACAATCAGATAAGTATGCATTGCCATCACATTTGGCTTTCCAGTCTAGAGCAGTGAGGAGATCCGCCCTGCCCATTTTTCTCCCAACATTCAGTGCCAAGCTGTCATCTAAAGGCCCGATGCATCTCTACATGGCATCAACAGCGTAGAATGTGGGGTTTCACTTGTCAAATGATGAATCAATCTATTATTACAATTTTTAAGAGGACCAAGCTGGGTTGATTATATTTCCTAATAGAAGTAGTCCAAAAGCTAATGTAATTTAAATCAAATTGTTCTCTGCAAGAAGAGTCTTCGTTGTTCACTGAGCACAGAGCATTCTCAATCAGGGAAACTATCTTGCTAAAATTTAAGCAGTAAGAAAATAACATTTAGAGTTAGAAAAGATCTTAGGTTTAGATTGGTTCAACCCTTTCATTTTTACCTCGCCACCATATTGCCTCTAAATCTGGGAGTAGACACATTTAAAAAGAAGTCAGCATTTTATGGCTCATCTTTCTTTTGACAAAGGAAAAAGGTTGATAGCTTTATAGGAAGAAATTATGCCATCACCTCTCTTTTTTCCTTTTCACTAGAAGTGGGAACAAAGAATGAAGATGATACTGCAATTTTGATCTCTATAACCTCATTTGAAATCATTCTCTATGATTTAGGTTTTCTTGAAATGAAAAGGACAAATTGTGTTAACTTAGTTAAAGTTGGAGGAAAAAGTTGATTGGATATGCTGTTGTCAAGGAAACTAATTCTCTCCACCTCTCTTTCTCCTTCTCTCTCTGTTTCTGTCATTTTCTCTCTTTCTTTCTCATTCTCTCTCCTTTCACACACACACACACACACACACACACACACACACACACACACACAAACTAGTTCATACAGTGCTCTAAAAAAACTATTCATCTGACATTTAAAAATTATTTTAAAATACCCGAAGTCTCTACTTTGGAAATCTGTACAAGAAACACTGAAGTAAAGTGGTTCCTAGAATTCAAACTCAGTCAGGACTTTTTCTGATTCTGGTGAAGGCACCGTCATTCTGAGTCAGTGCTGTGTCTCAGAAGCATATGAGACAGTCTCCAAGTCATTGCCAAGTCAGCTACAGAATGAGATTGTCAGAAAGAAAGAGCTGGAATGAGAACCTTTAAAAAGCAATAGGCCGGGTGTGGCGGCTGATGCCTGTAAACCCAGCACTTTGGGAGCCAAGATGGGCAGATCACTTGAGGTCAGGAGTTTGAGTCTAGCCTGGCTAACATGGCAAAACCCTGTCTCTACTAAAAATACAAAAATTAGCCAGGCATGCTGGCAGGCACCTGTAATCTGAGCTACCCAGGAGGCTGAGGCAGGAACATTGTTTGAGCTCAGGAGGCAGAGGTTGCAGTAAGCCAAGATCGTCCCACTGCACTCCAGCCTGGGCAACAGAGCAAGACTCCATCTCAGAAAAAAAAAAACAACAGAACCACACAAGGGTAAGAGAAAGGTGGATAGGTCAATCTCTTGAGCCTTTATCGAGTGCCTATCATGCTTAAAACAAGAAGCTATGCACTGAAAAATAAAAATGAAAAAGTAAGTGAAGGCCAAGCTAAAAGAGATTTTAGGGAGTGAAGTAGGTTGCTTGTTATTTAACGATAGGCCCGGCCTCCCCACTCATCCATCCGAGGAGTACACCTCCCTGCTCCATCAGTGTCAGGCTGGGCAAGGTGTTTTGCTTTGGCCTCAAAGTGGCCACGTGTCCTCCTGCTCACATCCTGGGTTTGGCCATATGACTTGGTTTGACCAATAGGGTATAAGCTGACATGATGCAGCAGAAATGTATAACTTTCTGGCACCATCAGGCTTGCTCTCCTGAGTTTTTGCCTTTACAACAAGAACCTGCCATTCTCCTTATAGTTCCGAGGAGAATGAGAGACAAGCAGAGACTTGGTGCCCCAGTTGAGACCCTCCCCAGCAGATACATTCAGAAGTACAGCAGGGCCATCCAGCCAAGTGTGGCTTAGGCCAGCCAACTTCAGCCAACCCTTAGACACATGATAAATGATAAATTGTTGTTTATGTCACTGAGTTTTGGGGTAGTCTATTATGCAGCAATGAGTAATACAGAGAACATCTTAACATCTTAATTTATTACTTCTTCAGGGCCACATAGCAAACCAAAGGTAGAATAACTTGACCAAAACCATGGGCCTCTTAAGTGGGGCCATTTCCACAAAGACGACAAGCCAATCCCTTTCCAAAATGGGTATCAGGAGACCAGACGTCATGAATCCTATGGAAAGAGGACTCCCAAATCACTGGAGCCCATTGGGATGTATATCCGCAACACAAGAGAGCTTTAATGCACCTAGAAAAGCGATCACTGACCCAGAGGTCTAGGGAAAGCTGCCAAAAAATCACCCAGTGGCTGAAGAGAAGCTGTGTGAAAACCGACTAAAATGATTAGGACTCCAGTGTGGAAAGACACATGTTGAGAATCAATACAATTCAAGCCTGTTAAATCTTGAATAGAGTAAGTGGTCTGAACATGGGTTTGCTCACCAGAATCTGGAATTTTAGAAAGAAAAGAGCAAAAAAAGGGAAATTCAGGAAAAATAAAGAGAAGGGCGATATTACTTTACACAGCCAAGAACTAAGGTGACCCTCTGCCCCAGCGTATCTGGGATAGTTGACACGGTCATCCTGGGGTAATTATTAATAGCACTTCCTGTCACTTTCAAAGGGGAACTGGACTGGGTGATAAATTACATGGTCATGCTGCTGGCAGCACACTCTCCCCATGGGCTGAAGGACCCGAATCTGATAAGGTTCAGATATGCTCATGGGGTAAGACCTGCAATGCACTGTCAAGGCATATTGGACAGTTTGTGCTCTGAGGCAAGAGGGCCACCACATCCCATGGTGACATCCCTCACCACAGCAACAGGACCTGATGATGTGCACAGCCCAGCAAGGCTGCAAAGCCTGGAAGGTGGTACTCTTTCAGGCCAGCACAGTTCCCCCTGGGGCAGCCCCAGGGTCTCCTCTAGAAGCCTTGTTTGCACTGCAGGACACCCTCTTTGTGGGCCCTTCGAAAAACAGAAACACATGCAACATTCCTAATCTTGGCACTTCTTCCATATCAGTTCAACACATAAAAATCGAAATATCATATATAAGAGAAATGTTGAGTTTCCTTCTTACCCACACAGAGGTCCGTACAGTTTTCTGAGCTCCATTTGGCTTTCCCAAAAACCCTGAAGGAAACACAGCACTACAGTAAGAATAAGATTAAGCAAAATTCCAATTATTCAAACTTATTCAGAAAAAAATCTGGAACAGCAAGAACACAATTACAGAAACAATAAAAAAGAAGGGAAGTTATATTGCTTTCAAGTACTTTGGAATACTGGAATAAACAAATGACTATAAAAAAATATTACCATGTAAAAGTCTTGGGCATCCCTGCTGTAATGGACAGAAGAGCTCACCAGTTCTTAAACTACTTATGTATCCTTGCTGCTAAAATATTCAAAAAGTTTGCTTTCTCAACTCTAACACTGCCCTCTGAAATTTGATTTAGCACTATCATAGGGCCAAGCCCCTTTATACTGCCACTATATGTAACTTCTACTGAGTCTATCAAAATTACCACAAATTCTGAATTATCAAGATCCATTCAAGTTAAACTTGAATTAAAATCAACATGTTTGAAACATATAGAACAAAATGCTAGCCACTTTTTTGTTGTTGTTGAGACAGAGTCTTGCTCTGCCACCCAGGCTGGAGTGCAGCAGCGCAATCTCGGTTCACTGCAATCTCCACCTCCCGGGTTCAAGCGATTCTCCAGCTTCAGCTTCCCAGGTAGCTGGGATTACAGGCACGTGCCACCATGCCAGCTAATTTTTGTATTTTAATAGAGACAGGGTTTCACCATGTTGGCCAGGCTGGTCTGAAACTCCTGACCTCAGGTCATCTGCCTGCCTCGGCCTCCCAAAGTGCTGGGATTACGGGTGTGAGCCACTGTGCCTGACTAGACACATTTTATAATGGGAAAGCAGTGTACCTGGGCTGAAGGAGGGGTGGAATATGCTAGGCCCATTGTGTGGTGGGAAGGGACTAGACCTGAAAATACTCATGAGTTGGGGTGGGGGTTGGGGGTGGCAAATGGTAGATTTACATTGTGAGAATGGAGTATGGGGGCGGAATGAAGGTGGAGAGCTGGGGGTGTGAATTCACATGAAGTATGAATGTCCTGCATGGAAACACGTGCCTTTCTCACTCAATCTTCTGAATTCTGCAGCGTAAGCTTGCCATACATCAAGGAAAGCATATACGCATATAAAAATAGTCACCAAAATTACTATGTTCTAGAAAGAACTTGGCAGGGCCTGTAGCTGTGAGGATGGCGGGCTGCAAAGGAGTGTATGTATGTGGAGGCTCTCCAGAGGCGGGCACAGCGTTCTCCTCACATCTCGGAATGTTAATACCAAATTAATTACTCCACGGAATACAACAGATCATTTCCGCCCAGAAATGTGTGAAATGTATTTTCTTTAGCTTTTCGATCTGGTCTGTTGTTCTATCTTGACACTTTTAAATTTCTTCACACTTGTTTCAAGGGGCTCACTGGAAGCCTCATTGAGGTTGTTTGTGAGCTTGAAAGTTGTGAACTGCCCACCCCAGAGAGAGAGAGAGGAGAGAAGAAGGTGTTTAAAAATGCTAGGAAGACAGAAACAACAGCCACAAATCATGGAAAAGGAGATGGACAGGGGAAGGAATGGAAAAGAAGTAATTGAGAAGGAGGAGGCATAAAAGGACAGAAAGAGCAGCTTGCTTTTCTATCGAGTGCCAAGGGCCAGCCTTTCCGGAGGTAGAGATGGGGGAATTCTAGAGATGTCGAAGGGACATTATCAGGATCGTCCCCTATTTAGTCTTCCTGTCTTTGTTTGGCTTGGTGATTCTTCCCATGCAGGGTCTGCTGGCTCCTGGTGTTGGGTCTGGAGTCAGTGTCCTCGTGACTTAGCAGAATAAGCCATGTGGCTTCTGAGAAAACCCAATGTGAGAAAAATAACCATAGATTATGAAGTCCTGACCTATATCTACAAATGTCTGCGGGCCATTTCCACTGGCATGTCACTCTGGCAAATCCCAGGCAACAGACTTAAAATAAAACTTGGCATCTCCCTGAACCACTCCCCTGCCCAACCTTTTATTCTGTCAACCCATGGCCATGATCCCCGTTTCCCCGGCTCAAAGCTCAGACTCATGTTTGACTCACTTTGCCTTGAATTCTCTACACTCATTTGTCCCAAGAGTTCCTAATTTTGCTTCCAATTATCCATCTCTCTTCACTCTCATCCACCTAGACCGAGCCATCATGGCTTCACCCCAGACTTCAGCAACAGCTTGGCTCTACAACCCTAACCTAGATTCTTCTATTGAAATTATCACAAATTCTGAATCATCATGAGCCATTCAAGTTAAACTTTAATTAAAATCAACACGTTTGAAACATATAGGACAAAATGCTAGACCGAGATTCTTCTCCCTTGCAGAGTATTGTTCCATTCCAGCGTCCCTCTCCTTCGCAAAAATGGTAGCACACAAATAGTTCTTCACTTGCCTTTCTAGCCTGTAAGCATCTAGTCCCCCTTTCTCTCACCCAACTACATTGCCCCAAGCACCCTAATCCTTGGCTTCTAGCCAGTCCAGGCTGCTGGTCAACCTGTGCCGTCATTCTCACCTTGGTGCACTAACTCACATGGTGCCGCCCACCTGGTGTGTGTGTCCTCATCTCTATGTCCACAGCCCCTGAAGGACCTCCTTCTTCAGGAATTTCCTAGGATAATTCTGGCCCTGACAGATGATCCTCTCCTCTGACGGGAGACCACAGCTACCGTCCATACCACCCTGTCTAGTGCTAGGGTATATCTCATCTGGTGTTGCATGTCATCATTTGACGGTGTACTTGAGGGCACAAGTAGCCTCTTCTACACTCTAGGGTCTGGTGTATTTAGACACACAATAAATGGGGTTTGGGGGAAATGGGTAAGTGAATGGATGACAGGACTCAAAACATATTGATAGTGATAAGAGACAGATTCTTGACATCACATAAAAATTTATATAAGGAGAGGAGGGTTCGTGGCATCACAGAACACCTTTACCACTCGAGATGTGGGGACCTGGACAAGAGCAATGTTTCATGCAGAAAGCCTGTCTCAGGCTCAGCATGTTTTATTTATTTATTTTTTTTTATTTTTTGAGAGAGTTTCACTCTTGTTGCCCAGGCTGGAGTGCAATGGCACAATCTCAGTTCACTGCAACCTCCACCTCTGGGGTTCAAGCGATTCTCCTGCCTTGGCCTCCCAAGTAGCTGGGATTGATGCCCAGATAATTTTTTGTAGTTAGTAGAGACAGGATTTCATCATGTTGGTCAAGCTGGTCTCGAACTCCCGACCTCAGGTGATCCACACACCTCAGCCTCCGAAAGTGCTGGGATTACAGGCATGAGCCACCATGCCTGGCCCTCAGTATATTTTATGATGGAAGCCAATGGAAGATAGCCCTTACCTGGCGGAAAAACATCAAGTTTCCAATAAAAGGAGAAGGCTTGGGATGTCTGATGCCTAACTTCTCCAGTCTTGAGAACGCTGACGTGGAGTACCTGGAGGGAAAAGCAGATTTCAAAAGCTGAGAAATAAAAGTTGCATTCATGCTTTAGGCTCTATTAGGAACTGGAGTTACCGAGTTCTCTGGAAGTAAAGGCAAAATAATAGGTTTCCAGTCAACATATCTAAGAACTGAAAAATCAGAGGCCTAGAGTTGAGTAGGAATCCAGTAAATACCTCCTGTTGAGTGACCGGCTGGAGATCAAGGTATCCCAAAACCTGTGAGTTGGAGATGCCTTAGGAATGATGTAGTCCAACTGCCCTTCTCTGACCTAGAATTCGTGTTAATAAATGGTTTTTAAAACGCCCCTCTCCCCAGTTCCTTTCCTTTGCCTCTATGTCTATCATGAGCAATTGCTCAGAAGGCAAGGTAAAAAAAACCAACAATGGCAAAAGCTCCCTGTGCAAATGTGTGTATTTTCATGGTCAAGACTGACCCCTCCCTGCCACACACACAATTTGTCATTCACCACATTCCCTGGCCTTATAGAGAATATAAAAAATAGGAACGGAGGGAAGGCGCCATGAGGAGGAGACCTATCACCAAATGCTTACAACCTCTTTAAGTCTTTGTTTTCTCGGCTTGCAACCATATGGGAAGCATATTTTCTTAACCAAAAATCAGGAAGCGTGGTCCGACAGATTTCTGTGCCACTTTCCAGGAGAAAGCGGCAGTCTGAGAAGTGCAGTGTGGCTGTCAAAACATTGGAATTATTCGGGTATTTCAACAGTTTATAGGAACAGAGGGATAACACAGTTAAAGTCAGAACTGGCTTAGAAAAACCTGCACATATGGCTCTGATCCCTAACCAGCAGCCAATTAGGTCAAAAGTTCAGTTAATTCAGCAAAATTAATGAGTCAAACTGGTTGTTTAGCATCACGCAGAGATCAGCCAAATCACAATTTAAGGGCAAGGAAAAACATGGTGAATATCACTACAATCTAGCTTTCTCTGTGTATTGGAATTCAAACAATTACTGCTATAAGAATCGCTCTTTTTCGAAGGACAGAGTATTTGCTATAGTCTTTGATCTTTCCCACCTGCAGTCAATAAGGAGCATTTAAAATAAAAATACTCAAATATCCAGGGAAAGGACAACACAGCTTAGGTGCTGGTTTGCATTATTCTGAGCAATGTGTTATTTATTTATTTAGAGACAGGGTCTCTCTGTCGTCCAGGCTGGAGTGCAATGGAGGCTCAATGCAGCCTCAAACTACTGGGCTCAAGTGATTCCCTGCCTCAGCCTCTCAAGTAGCTGGGACAACAGGTATGTGCCACCATTCCCAACAAGTATTTCAGATTTTTTGTAGAGACAGGGTCTCACTATGTTGCCTAGGCTGGTCTTAACTCCTGGCCTCAAGCAATCCTCCTGCCTTGGCCTCCCAAAGTGCTGGGACTAAAGGCATAAGCCCCTATGCCTGGCCAATGGGTTGATTTTTAAAGTGGTCACAGGGGAGAACGAGGGCAGAATGGGAAGGCAGGATGTCCTCTATCCCAAGCTGTCCTAAGATTTCCACCGCATGGCTGCATTAATAGGTTTGAATGAATTCCCAGTACATCACATTTAGGTCCATGTTCAAGTGTGATTACAAACCACACTCAAGAGCCAGGCGTGAATGGCACGGATTAGTCATACCAACACTCCTCTTCATTAGTGTGAGTACCGAAGGTCGACAGCACAGTTGGTAAAAGTTATTCTTTCAAGTGGACTATAATGTTTTAAATAATTCCCCTGACAACTGAGAGGAAAGACCAAAGGAAACTTACCAGCCCTTAACACTTTCTTTAACATCCTCAAATCGACGTCTACATTCATTTCTTCATCAGTTTTTTTGGAATTATTTTCTAAATGTAATCTCTAATGGGTAGGAAAAAAGATGTAGACCTTGGACCACATAATTACATCTTAATTTTGTAATTAGATGTCTTGATTGTCTAAAGGACAAGAAGCCTGTGCCTAATTATACATGCTAATTATTATGCAAGTCCATGCCTAATTATGTAACTCCACTTATGAAAAGACTGCTAGTGTGTCTATGCACAAAATTCAGACATTTTCAAACAAATAGCATCAGCAGAGAGTGTCCTGGACACAACCACAAACTTCCCTTTGTAGCCTCGACTCAAATCTAGAACTTGAGTATCTTCAGCTGTGGAAATTCACCAACTATTGCCATCAGTCACTCAAATCCCCACACCCAAAACTGCAGGGAGAGATCACTGCTACCAAATTTATGGGCAAAATAGCAAAATGGGCCGGGCGCGGTGGCTCAAGCCTGTAATCCCAGCACTTTGGGAGGCCGAGGCGGGTGGATCACGAGGTCAAGAAATCGAGACCATCCTGGTCAACATGGTGAAACCCCGTCTCTACTAAAACTACAAAAAATTAGCTGGGCATGGTGGCACGTGCCTGTAATCCCAGCTACTCAGGAGGCTGAGGCAGGAGAATTGCCTGAACCCAGGAAGCGGAGGTTGCGGTGAGCCGAGATTGCGCCATTGCACTCCAGCCTGGGTAACAAGAGCGAAACTCTGTCTTGTTTGCAATGGTATTGCAAAAAAAAAAAAAAAAAAAAAAAATAGCAAAATGGGTTCCATTTGTCTCCCTACCACTTCCTTTTCTGCACTCTTGTTTCATACCCTCTGGTCTCAGGGTCTCCATGCTGCCCTCTGACTGTCTCAGCAGGTTCTTAATCCACAATCCATGGGCCCCAGGTGTAATGGGTTGAATTGTATCACCACCAAAAACATAAGTTGAAGTCCTAACCTCCAGGATCTCAGAATGTGACCTTATTTGGAAATAGGGTCACTGCAAATGTAATTAGTTAAGATGGAGTCTTAATTGATTAGCAGTAGCTCACACCTGTAATTCCAACACTTTGGGATATCAAGGCAGGCAGATCACTTGAGGCCAGGAGTTTGAGATCAGCCTGGCCAACATGGTGGAACCCCATCTCTACTAAAAATGCAAAGAATTAGCCAGGTGTGGTGGTGCACACCTGTAATCCTAGCTACTCAGGAGGCTGAAGTAAAAGAATCTCTTGAACCTGGGAGGAGGACGTTGCAGTGAGCCAAGATTGCGCTACTGCACTCCAGCCTGGGTGACGGAGTGAGACTCTGTCTCAAAAAAATAAATGCATAAAATAAAGTCATACTGAAGTACGGGGCCCTTCAATCCAATATGACTGGTGTCCTTACAAGGAGATGGCCATGTAAAGACAGAGATACACAGGAAAGTGCCGAGTGACTATGAAAGCAGGGAGTGCAGTGAGGCCACTGCAAGCCAAGGTATGTCAAAGATAATCAGCAAGCCACTAGAAGCTAGAAAGGGGCAAGGACGGATTCTCCCCTATAGACTTCATAGGGAACATAGCCCTGTAGACACATCAGTTTCAGGCTCCTGGCCCAGAACTGGGAAACAATAAATTTCTGGTGGTGTGGGTGTGGTGACCCATGCCTATAAAACTAGCACTTTGGAAGGCCAAGGCAGGACAGTGCTTGAGCCCAGGAGTTTGAGACCAGTCTGGGCAACACAGCAAGACCCTCACCTCTACAAAGCATCAAAATATTAGCCAAGTGAGCCTGGGCATGGTGGCTCATGACTGTAATCCTAGCACTTCGGGAAACTGAGGCGAGCAGATCACTTAAGGTCAGGAGTTCGAAACCAGCCTGTCCAACATGGCAAAATCTCACCTCTACTAAAAAAAAAAAAAAAAATGCAAAAATTAACCAGGCATGGTGTTGCACACTTGTAGTCCCAGCTACTCAGGAGTCTGGCGTGCAAGAATCGCTTGAACCCAGGAGGTGGAAGTTGCAGTGAGCCAAGACTGCACCACTGCACTCTAGCCAGGATGATTAAGTAAGATCCTGTCTCAAAAAAAAAAAAAAAAAAAAATTAGCGGGGTGTGGTGGCACACACCTATAGTCCCAGCTACTTGAAAGGCTGGGACGGGAGGGTCACTTGAGCCCAGGAGTTTGAGCTATGTTTGTGCCACTACACTCCAGCCTGGGCAACAGGGCAAAACTCTATCTCAAAAAAAAAAAAAAAAAAAAGAATAAATAAATAAATAAAGTAATTAATTCTGGAGTTTTCGGCCACTCAGTTTGCAGTACTTTGATATGGCAGCCTTAGGTAAGTGATACACTAGGGCTACCTATAAATGAGTCTTAGAGGGTCAACGAAAAACTTTTTAAAATTTCTTCCTGTTACTTTAAAAATGGTATTGCAAAAAAAAAAAAATCGTTTTATGCCAAATTGTGTCATTAAGTCTTGTGCCATTTAAAAAAGTGCAGGTGGCCAAGGATACTACTGCGTAAAGCAGGTGATACGCAATGATCAGGCGATCACCATGTTGTGATGTTTACAGTGGCTTTCCTTTGATGGGAATTGATGCAAATGTATCCAACAATTATGGTTTGGACACCTGTCATTGTTTACATCAAGGATACTTAAGTTGGAAAACGACAACAGAAGGCATATATAACTTCAGATAGCATCTTTTGGTTTTATATTCACAACTAAAGAGGTCATTAAATGCTACAGGATACAAATCCTGCAGTGCCAGTGGTACAACTTGCTGTCCAGTCTCAAAATAAATTGAGCCATTCGATCATTTTCAAAATCAGGTACAATTTGTAAAGGCTGCAAATTTTCCTGTGTTTTGTCTTCCTCAAGACAAAGGTCTTTTCTTTATTTATTTATTATTTATTTTTGATGTGGAGTCTCACTCTGTCTCCCAGGCTGGAATGCAGTGGTGCAACCTCAGCTCACTGCAACCTCCTCCTCCTCCTGGGCTCAAGCAATTCTCCTGCCTCAGCCTCCCAAGTAGCTGAGATTACAGGCACTCACCGCCACACCTGGCTAATTTTTGTATTTTTAGTAGAGACAGGGTTTCACCATGTTGGCCAGGTTGGTCTTGAACTCCTGACCTCAAGTGATCCATCCGCCTCAGCCTCCCAAAGTGCTGGGATTACAGGTGTGAGCCACTGCGCCCGGC